TTAATGTATGTTTGTCATTTCGATTATTTCAGGTAAATTAAGTAGCTCAAAAAACATGCATGAAAATATAGTATATTTATATATATATGTATGCATACACTTAAGTAACAGTATCCACTTCGAAATGTTTCGACTAATTATTAGGCAGGGACATGCCGATGAAAAAAATTAAAAATTGAAAGTAATGAAATAAAATATCAAATCAAATAGAATAAAACAAAATATAATGAAAAAAAAAATAAAATAATATAAAACAAAATGAAAGCAAATAAAATAAACTAAAATTTAATAATAAAAAAATAAAAAAAATGAAATCAAATAAAATAAAACTTAATTAAATAAAAATAAATAAATTTATTTAAATTTTAATTAAATTAGGTTAGTTAAAATAAAATATAATAAAATAAAATAAAACAAAATGAAGAAAAACATAATTAAAAAGCATAAAAAAATATAATATATAATAAAATAGCACGAAATAAAATGGATTTTAAAAAAATAAAGAAAAAATAAAATAAATTAAAATAAAATAATACAAAAATAAATAAAACAAAATAATATAAAACGTACTAAAATAAATTAAAACAAAATAAAACCAAATAAGATAATAAAATAAAATAAAATAATACAAAAATAAATAAAACAAAATAATATAAAACGTACTAAAATAAATTAAAACAAAATAAAACCAAATAAGATAAAATTATATTATATCAAATAAAATGAAATGAAATGATATAAAATCAAATTTAATTAAATTAGTTAGAAAATAAAATAATTAATAAAATAAAATAATGTAAAATAAACAAAATTATATAAAAAAAAAATTAAATGAAGGAAAATTAAATTAAATTAAAGTTTAATAATTAAATAAAATAAATAATAAAATTAAATTAAATTAAATAATACAAAATAAAATAATATAAAATAAAATATTATAAAAAAAAGAAAATGAAAAATATAAATAAATTAAATAAAATAAAGTTATCTTAATTAAATGAAATTAAACTAAACAAAATAAAATAAAATAATTAATAAATCAAAATAAAAAATAAAATAAAAGGTAAGAAAACAAAAAAATTAAAAATTAAGCTAAATTTAACTAAATAAAACAAATCATAATAAAATTAATTGGAATAAAAATAAAATAATTGAATTAAACATATTTAAGCAAAGAAAAGGTTAAACTATAACACAAAAAAAAGAAATATAAAAACTAAGTTAAAGAGAAATAAATTAAGTTAAGTAATATTTCGAGGATTCCTGGGGATGACTGAAATTTTAAGTCTAGTTGCTATATTATATTACATATAATAGTATAGTATCAAAGCTCAGGAGTTTAATAAGAGCCACCGTAGTGCTTATAACATGTGTGCATTACGATCTAATTTTACTCCACATCGAGTAACTTACCAGTTCATCGAACAATGTACATTAGCTGAGGGCGTTTGCACACCCACACAGACACATTGAAGAATTTTCTTTGAAATCCATTTGACTATTCTATGAATATCTATACACAATTTTTAGTGCCCACAACGAGGGTGCTTTCACTAACATTCCTTATGTGGAGGAAGGGGGGAGGAGATGACGACTTAAACGTGGGCACTGCGTAGCTGACCATTAGTTTGCGCAATTACACGTGGCATGCACGCACTCCATTCGGCTTAACGTTCACACCGAAAATACAAATACACCCCAACCTGTGTGCATTACCTGGTATGAAAGTGCCAACGTTTACAGACACGTGTGTGTATTCAACAGTTACATAGAATAAGAATGTCCGTTTGTCTGGACGTGGCTATACCACGTTGTATGGGTTATGCTATGTTTTTGTTTTTTACAGGAAATGGCACCGTTGGCTTAAAGTCTTCAATTCCATAACACGGACTCATCAGTGTATGTGTGCATGTATAGACTTCGATTATCCATTAACATTTTGAATATGTAAATCTGTTTACAAAAACATTCAACTTATATCAAAGAGTTTTGCTCAGTTAATTTATGTATATGTGTATATGCGTATATATGGGCGTATATACAGTATACACGTTTCTTTGCATATATAGTATATAATTGTTGCTGTTGTTGCATGCACCACTCTAAGTTTGTTTGTGGTTATTTGCACACAAGTGTCGTTCACTTACAATAGGATTATGCCCCGTAATTGAATCAACTAATTGCCTAGTCATTAGGCAAACATATAACCAAGCTTTGAGTACATCTGATCATCATCGATTGTTTATGTAACACAGTAAATCACTATATGCAAGTTTGCGCACATACATACGTGCATTGAAACATATGATGTCCAAGCTTTATAGTCTAACTTTATTTCTTCTCTGAAAGAAAATATATTAAAAATTTATTACTTTATAAATTCAATTAATAGCAATGCAGTAAGCAAATACATACAAATTTTAAGAGAAAATGGCTTATACACAATTAATGAACTATTTAATTTTTATAAATTAACTTTTGACCTTAATTTCCATTCAAATACAATTAATATTCATTATTGATTTGACTTTGAACTAACTGTTTACATAAACAGATAAGATAGTCAGTATGTAGTAATCAACGATGGTTTTCACTTTAAAATTTATATACTATCTGTGCTGCAACTCTTTATCATTATTTATATACATATACAAACATATATATATAAATATAAAAATAAAAAATATGGTGATTTATAATCAATAAATGCGAAATTTAATTTTCCTTTTAATTTACTTAACTTCTGTTAATGGCTAAAAAGCCACAAATTTTCAGACACACATCAGGCATTCTCTCATTTCTGATCGTTACGTATCCACATACGTAGAAACCCACTAAAAGTGTCCATCATAAATTTCCTTCAAAGATATCATTGACTGTCGTTGCTAGTATCTACCGGAAACTCTCACACACAAACATACATACATACACAATCATTTCCCTTTAATTGACATTGCTTGTAAACGTTTACAGGCAGATTTCTAGCCGAATCCATCGAAAGAATACGAAATGCTTTGTATTGTAAAGTAATCAGCCATTTTCTACTTCAAATAGAGTAACACCAATAGACAAAAGTAGTCCTTATGGAACAAAAGTAGTAAGCAAATATGTGTAAGAACAAACATACACACAAAGCTTATGGAGCTACCAAGCAACAGCTTCAAAAGACTGTGTGAGTATACACGTATGTAGGAAATTCTGCATACTCATTGCACATACGCATTTCTATGTTGCATGTGATTGATAGAGATGTGCACTTTTCAATAAACGATTCTCAGCAAATATCGATAACAAACGAAAGAAAAAGAAAATAATATAGATACAAATATTTTCTTTAGAAAGCGACTATGGCCAAAGCATGCATGCATACATTTCAATTTAATATACTTATTTTTTTCATATCTGCTTGCTTTATTTATTTTATTAATTTTTTTGTTCTATTCTAATCTATTCTATTTTATTACATTTTTATTTTAATGTTATTTTATTAATTAAATTATTTTTTTTATTTTTTTTTATTGTATTATTATTATTTATTTTTTTAAATTTATTTTATTTTATGTTGCTCTAATTAATTAATGTCTATTTATTTTTTTTTTCCTTTATTTTCTTTTCATTTAATTTAATTTGATTTTAATTCTTTTTCTTAGCTTCGCTTTTCTTTATTTTTTATTTGACATTATTTTATTTAATTTTAGTTTGTTTAATTAAATATAATTTTATTTAAATTTATTTATTTCAGTTTAATTTTATTTATTCTAATTTAATATAACTTAATTTAATTCTATTTAATTTTATTTCATTTTATTTAATTTAATTTAGATTTATTTGAATTAACTTTATTTTGCTTAATTTTATTTTAATTTATTTTCTTTTATATATTTGATATACATTTTTTATTTAATTTTAATTTAATTTTATTGACTTTGGCTTTGATTAATATTTTTTTTAATTTACTACTTAAGTTCTTTAATTTAATTTAATTTTATTATGTTTTATTTTATTATGTTTTATTTTTTATAAATTTTTTTTCATTGCTTTTAATTTAACCAAGTTTGATATTTTTAATATTGTTTTTTATACTATGCTTTCTTAAACTTTTTTTGTCGTTTAATGAATTTAATTTAGTTTTATTATTTAATTTCGTTTTTATTTATTTTTTTGCATTTTATATATTAAGTTTTTTTTATTTAATTAATAATTTTGTATGGTTTTTTCATAAAATTTTTGATTTAATAATTTTTTTTAGTTTATTTAATGTTTTTTTTTTAATATAAGTACTTAATATTTTTCTATATTTCATTTAATTCTTCTATTTAAATTAAATTACTGGATTTTTTTACTTTTATTCTGTTTGATTTAATAATTTAGTAATAAAGTTTCGATAACTTTGATGAAGAAACACATCGCTGCAACATACTGTCGCTGGCCAACACATTTTCATTAGGAGTGCACAAATTTGCTTCACCTCTAGAGGCTCCTGATACAAACATACTCGTACTCGAATATTTGTATGTAGCATTTAGTACCCGTATACACTTTCGTTGTGTGGCGAACAAAAACGCTGTTAAAGGGAGTTAGAAAAACTAGTGGATGAAAAAGTAATCAAAAGCCTTTCAGAATGCCAAACTGATCGACTACTTCGGCCAATTGTGTTCTTCTCTGATGCACTGGTGCTTGGTGCTGGTATGCAGACCTTTGCAGCAGGAAGAGCAGAAGAGAAAAACTGTGCTTAGAGTTTACAATTGGCGTTGTTATTGAGTTTCTGTTTGTAGTCGGAGTGTTCGTCCATCCAACCAGCAGTCAATGGTTGTTGCATGTACTGTATGTGAGGAATGGTGTTGTTACTGTTATCTCATTTCATATCAGCTTTTTTTTCTGCTTTCATAGCAATCTATACTAAACCTTTGTAAAGTTTACATTTACATTTACGTATTGATTACAAGTTTTTTTTAATATCTTATATATTTTTTATATGTTTTTTTTTTTTTGTATTGCAGATGCATCATCCAATTCAAATGAAGCCAGCTGATAGTGAGAATAGAAATGGTAAGTTTTTTCTATTAGTAAATACTCATATGTACGAAAGCGTTCACTTGTGTTTCAAAAAAAAAAAGTATAAATTAATGCAATTAAAACGTTATGAATAGTTTCCAGTGTTTTCTATTTGAGATTTGAATTCAGAAAATTACTTTAATTCTATTGGGGGAAATCATATGTATCTTTCATGAGTTTTGTGTTTGGAGATTTTACTTGATACAAACCATAAAGTGCGATATGTGGCATACTTTTAGGCTTACTTTGACTGAAATGCTCTTGTTAAATATAACTTTATTTCACATTGTTAAATACGTTTATTATTTAGTATTTCAAAATTAATGTTATGTGAAAATCAGATTTTATTTGGCGTGATTCGGCAGTCGCTGTATTCTTTTGTGTAGTAACTGAACAGATTCAGTTTTTCTGATTTTTTTAGCTGACTAGTCATAATTGAAGCTGTATTTTATGGGAAATAAATATTTGTTACATTACTTTACTATATTTGACTGCTATCTGCCGCTTTTGAAACTTATCTAACTTAAATGTCTTTTTTGAGATCTTTTTGTCCAGCACAGGGTAGATCGTAAATATCAAGGGAGTGTTTGTGACAAAACGGAACAAAAACAGAGAATGAACGCTGCAAATAATGACCACTATGCTAGTTTATGACCCATATTTAGGCCTACATGGCAGTGCTTTTGAGACTGAGTGAGCCAGATATGGTCGTAAGTTTCTCACGTTGATTTTGCATACGATCTTGGTAGACTTTTAGATCATTAAAGAATTCCATTCCACACTGAGATATTCATGAAACATGTTCTAAGTCCTTGTAGTCGTTCATATCTCAAGTGTAAGCTTAGTCTCCAGACAAGTTTTCATCACTTATTTCGTTCCTCACAACGCTCTTATGAACTGGAACCTAACGGATGTGAAGCTGGAACCCTACCCTAAATCGATTAATTGGCGTCTAGCTACCGATATATATGTTGATTTCCATTCATGTGGTTCCCTACGGTGTTGGCTAGCTAAATGGCTTTCCCCTATAGCGTTATTGCGGTAGTTTCAGCGCAATAACAGAGATTTCAGTGCCCCTACCATCAACCAATTTTGATCCGTTCGTGTAGATTTTGAAAGTTTCGCCGTCTGGAAGCACGTTTCTATGAAAACCATCCTCTTTCAATGTATGTCTAAACTTTCTTTCCCAAATATAGCGGAAGTATAGGTAGACATGCTATAAAAGCGAACACAATTTGTGTCCATATTCTTGGACCTTTTTTTAAACGTTTTCCTCGAACTTTTTTTTACTACCATGTGAGTCACAATGTGCGCTGGGAGTACCAGAGAAGGGTGTAGCTACACTAATCTCCTGAAGGAATTCTAAAAATTTAACAGCCTTTTGCCATAGGCCTAAATAAAGAAAAGAAAACAGCTGAATAAGCAAATTATTTGCACCGAAAAAAAGTCCTTTATTAAAAATTCATGAATTTTTCAAAATTAATATCAATACTTCCAATTCACACACACACACACTACATACAAGTATTTAAAAACTCGCTAAAATTATGTAAAATATTTCACATTTGCAGCAGGCATAACAAACACAAATAAGAGGGGGGAGAAATTTCAATATAAGTTCTTTGCTGTAATTCAGCTTTGCTGGCGTATTTTCCGTCTTTTCTGGTCTTTGTTTGGCAATTTCACTTGACTGTTGTTGCTTTGAATTCGTGTTTATCTGTGAAACGATTCCAATAAACATTCTCAAGTATCACTGATATTTCGAATACCAAAGACAAGCAATAATAACGCCAACAACAACAAAAACCAACAACTTGGGCTGAGAGAAAAAAGGATAACAACAAGAACGTCAGTAATAGCCAAAGAGAAAGCAATAAGTTCGAATGAAAGTATTCAGAAACCATGAAAGCGGCCACGTACAAGTAGTAACATATTTTGATAAGGACGCCTGCTTATATACATACATACATAATTATATTCCATACGTACATATGAATATGGCTTTTACATTGTGTGTACATTTGGCAGCATAAGTATGTGAGTATAAACCACTCACAAATACATACATGCGCTTTAAGCACTACGTGAAAGTACTCGCCACCACATGAAGCTAAAACTCAAGTCAATTGGAAGCGCGTTCTATGGGTTTTCTGGTCTTGTGGGCTATTTAATGTTCAGACAAATAATCCAGCCTAAGTAGGTATGCACGAATGGGTTGCAGTGAAAAGCAAAACTGGTATGCAAAACTACTAGTTAAATACTAGTTTTTAACGGATTAAATTTCTCATGCTCAACTAACTGCTCTGGTATTGTATTTAACCAATCTGAAACTGATGCACAATCGGACAATTGTGACCTAACATCTTAAGATTAAAATTATCAGTTTCTCTCAAGCGAAAATTATGCAATGTTAACGATTTTACGTAATATAGAATACTAGTTGCATATTTTCCGTTATAAAAAAACTTTCCATAAAGCAAATTTTGAGTTCATAATGAGGGACTTTATCAAAACTGACAGCTTAAAAAATTGGCTATTGCGGACCAGAACTGGTCGTATAACTTTTTCTATCGTTTACCCTCAATCATTATCGGTATTCACTGCGTAATCTTATGTGTAAAATGTCACAGATTTTGCTAATGGTTCCTACTCAGAATTGGGCTTAGCTTTCACTCCACTCGAAAGCTGCATTTGATTGAAAATCTCTATTCGAATGCAGGTTGTATTCCAATAACAGTTGTTTATTTAGACGATTAAATTTGAATTCGTTCATATAGACAGTTTATTTTATGCTTATTTAGTGTTTTCTTAAGTATTTTATTAAAAGTGGCAATTTTTTTATTTAATAATTTTATTAAAAATTTATGATATTTATTCAATGATTAAATTCTACATGCCTTGGACGAGGTGTGGCAATTAAGTAATAAGACTGTTTATATTGCCGTAATTGTGGTAACCTTGCGACCTTGAAATTCCCTTTCCCTTCTACTAAAATCCTTCTCCTCTCCATTGATATATTTGCCATCTCTCGCGCTTGAATCGTTATATAGCTGCTCAAAGGAACTACTTTGGAGGGGATGGCAGAATTGTAGTATAATTTTGTCACACCTCGTAGCCATCCAACGATAAATATATCAATAGATATTTCTAATAGCCTTTTAGAAGGTTGAAAATGTTTGTAAAACTTCTCTTGCAACAATTTTGCTTTGACTTTCAGGAGGGAGGACTGAAGTTCGAAAATCAGTTCGAAATTCATTGTTATGGAGCTCATTTCATTCCATTCCATTCCAAAAAAAAAACTGTTAGTATTGTTCTAATTTTAATTCAATTTTGTTTTGTTGAGAAAAATTCAATCATATGATCACAAACCAGCTGCTTTTCAAGCTTTCCCAGCACGAGTTTGCGGCTTCCTCTCCAAACAAAACTTTCAAGGTCTTTAGTCTCCCTCGTTACCAAGTTTACTGGGTTTTTGGCTCAACGAGCACGATTCAGGATTCAGTAACGTTCAGAAAAAACACCCTTTCTTTCTTTTTCAGTCTCCAAATCGATTCTGTACTTTTGGGGCGCCCAAATATGAGTTATTTTATTTAATAATAGAAGTCGACATTGAACTGACGGGAGTTCTAATATTGTCAGTCGGTCGAAATTCGTAGCCCAATTCTAAGATAATTTGAATTCATACTCAGAAAGCTCCATACAATGTCGAGAAACTATTGGTGTTCCTTTATGTTGCAAACTGTAAAAGCTTTGCTTAAAAAATATTAATAATTAAATAGGAAATTTAATGAAAAATTGTCAATGACCAAACTAAGCTTTCTCGAGATTTCAACATAAATCTGGAAGCAAAAAAATTCACTTCACAAAAAAGTTGTTAAAAAATAAGAATTTAAGAAATTCAATAGTGAAAACTAAAAACTAAAAACTAAAAAATAAAATTAATATCTCAATAAGTAATTACTATACCAATATGGCAAAGGCAAATTGTAAATTAATTTGGATTAGAAACCTTAAATATTATATACTGCCAAATTGGTCCTGAAAGTAACTGGTTATATTTTGACTTACTTTATGATTAAAAAATAATATACTTACATGTATGTTTGTGTGAGTTTATTCGACAAATCGAAATATATATGAACAAAACTATGTACAATAGACCATATGTGAACTCTATTTGTATGTACAATATGTATAATACATGAATCGATGTTCAAAGTTAATACGATTTAAGCCGATCATATATGCTTATATTTAACAGTCTTTTGTGTTCTTCTTCTTCTTCTTCATCATCATCTTCTTTTTCTTCTTCTTTGAAATATTTTAATCATGACCATACATACATATCTACAACCGTTTTTGTTTAGACCATTCTGCCGTTTGAAAAGTTTGCATACACATACACATTCGTATATGTATGTGTGTATGTATGTATAAACCAGCATCCACTTGTGCAGTGCTTGCAAGTATCGCGCAACTCAGCTAACTCGAATGCCAATATTGTTATTGACCAGCAACTTTACATCTTTAAACGTGCACATATATGCACACATATATGTATATGTATATGCATACAGACAGACACATTGAGTATATGTATGTACAATCGAAATGAACGCTGATGCTTGTGCGTAGTCTTCCACTGGCCAGTACACCAACTTTAGCGAATCACCAGAGAGTTACAGCTGAGACTGTGAAGTCAATACAAAAATAACAGCAACATACAACAGGCGCTACGCATATTTGCAACAGCAGTTACCACTACATTGGTGTACTTAAACCGCACTAACAGTTGTTCAACTAAAGTTTGCGCGTAAATGGTCAGCGAGGGCGGAGGTAGAAGAATGGTAGGATGGAAGGAAGATAGAAGAAGAAGAATGTAAGATTGAATTTAAACAGAGGCGGACTCAGAACTAGGAAGGATATCTTAAACGCAAATAAGATAATAAATTAATTAAAAAAAAGTTAGAAAAAAATCATTTTAAATGCCGTTAAGG